CCCCTGGCAATAGCAATTCTACTTTGCTTATCTGTGAATTTGATAAGCTCATCGCTTCTATCTCAAGTGAGGTGGCTGAATGGATGATCTTAAATTAAGTTGCCTTCCGGTGATAACGTTCAGAGAGTCTCAGTGTCCTGGCGTTTGGAAGTCATTGTTATTTGTCTATGCTTTGGTTCATCCAAAAACATTCCCCTGAACGTGTTGTTCTAAGCAACTTCTAAGAGTCATTACCTAGGTCCCTTGGAGGCAAGCCTAATCCTTTATTCACCCTTGATTCCAAGACCCTATAGGTATTTGCTTCTACTACGCCTGAGTTTCCCCTTCAAATCTGAATTAAATCATAGAGCTCAGGGGCCCACTCGCTGTGCTTCTGGGACGTTTGTTTTGGCTGGAGTCCACCTGGATGGTTCTTTGCACTGTAACCCCAAGAGGGACACCCTGAGTGGGAGAGAGACTAGGGTTTGGTCTCAGCCCTGCCCTTATCCAATTCTGTGACTTGGCTCCCAACACTTACTTTCCCCCGCAGCGTTAGTGTTCTCACTAATTTTCAATAAAATGCCCCTCCCCCATATGGAATTGTCACAGTGAACTCCACAGTGTTCCTCAGGGATGTGTGGGGGTGGATAAGCACTGTGGTGGACAGGTGGGTTCAATAATATTGGTAGAAGGGGGCATCTCTTCCAGCTGAGTATCCCCTGCTGGGTCAGGGCCATGGTTAGACAGGTCTGCTCTACTCGGTTGACGTAGAGCTAAGTTAATGTCTTGTCCAAGCACTTAACTCAGTCTGGGACAAGGAAACCTCTGATCTTTGAATGTTTCCGCTTCCCAACTGTTAGGTGATTCATTACAAAATGTTAGGGAAAGAAGGAGAAGGTTCTCAGTACTAGAAAATTTAAATCCAAAAGAAGCCAAATTTAGAGAAGCGAAGGAGAAGGGAAGGCAAGCCCTAGAAAACAGCCAGAACTGGTTGAAAAAGAGCTTTTGCATTTCTGTAACCATCAACTTTCTTAAGGTAAAAGGAAACATGCAAATGATTTCTGGTAAGTTAGATCGGCAAGGTTAGCACTTCAGGCTTTTTGAAGTACTTACTTCCTTTTCAACGACTTGCTCAGATTAAGATTTGCAAATCCCAGTCAGCAACAGTAGCTCTGGTTAGGACTTATGAATTGGCTTTCCAGAAATGGGATTTAAGTCTGTGTTTATGCCTCTTATTAAGCAGTAATGTGGGTAGTCCTGAAAAGTGAGCATTTGAAGAAAGTAGTCCAGGTTGGTTTAGTACCTTTCTCTCTTTAACACTTCGCGGGAACCAATTTCCTACCATCCCCTATAACCTTGGAGTTTATATAGGATACTCTGTTACTCACCTGAGTTCTCTTGATTTAGATGGTGGTGTCTTCCCAGGGCTTCCTCATAGCTTAGATGCTCTGGGTTGTGGGATAACTTGGCATCAAAAGCCTGCTACACCCCCGCAAGCACACCCCCACTCAGGCATGCACCCCCAAAACCTCTCTTTTTATCTGTCATCAACTTCCTCCTTCTCTGACTAATCCAGGGAAAGGTTTGATTTTTCTTTTCCTCCCCTTTCATACGTTTTCTTTTATATCCCATGTTGGGTGTAGAGATTGCTATAAAACCAGTATGTGAACACTAAACAAAAGAATGATCCAGCCCACAATCATTAAGAAACTTGGGCTTCTAGGAATTCACCTCCTTGTGAGTCCTCCAACAGGACAATTGGTTTTCCTCTCTAGATGCCCTGTGCCCACCTCCGAAAGTGTCCTGGGCACATCCCCCCGACAACTCCAGGCCCTGGGAAGAGACGCCGGGTCTTGCTCCAGACATGAAGCTCTGTGTTTTTGGGTTGGACCCACCTGTCTTCCCACCTGAGTATCTGCTCACTCAGCCTCCACCTTCTCCTCTCTCTTTGCTCGGTGTTCCAAATGTTTCCAAATGGGGCAGAAATGTAATATACTAAGAGTAGCCGTCATCAAGAGAAAAACCACAGTTCAGAGGGCCTCTCGCAACCCCTGTGGGAGAAAGAAAAGAGCACTTGAGAGCCGGTCCCCACCCATCCTGCATGGCGCTGAGCCAGCCAGCCTGCCGGGCACTGCCAGCCCTACCCGCCCAGGGTGAGGGCGTTACTTTGCTTCAGATTCAAAGAGGGTAAAAAAGTAGTGTGAAAAAAAAAAAAAAAGGCACTATCCACCCGATTCTATTTTTTGCAGTGATCACTCTATTATCGAAAAGCAGCAGAAACCACAAGTATGCATAAACCAAGGGTTCCTTGAGTATCACCAGCATATTCGAAGTTTTCCATCTTTTGTATTCTTGTTACTTTAGGAAACACAGCCTAAGGCTCTTTCCCTCTTAAGTCTGATTCCAGAGCCTTGGGGAGCTCTGGGGGAGTGGGAAGCACAGGGTCCTTCAGGCCCTCCCAGGTCCGATTTGGGCTGCAGGTGGGAGCCTTGCCCGAGCCTCACTCAATGCGTGGAAGTTTACACAATGGCTCTGCTTCGTGTGGTCCGGCTGATTCATCCATTTGGCTGTTTGACGTCTGCCTCTGCCCCAGCCAGGACAGAAGGGGGCCTCTTAGGAACTTCTGGCCCTGTTCCCTCTGCAGGGGACGCACAATAGGGCTGTGATAAGACAGGGTTTGAGGGGGAAGTGGATTTTTGGAAACAGGATATTTTTAAATTAGAGAGAGAAACAGAAGGGTTGTGACTCCCGTTGTGACAGGTGGGCCCCGAGACTGCCCAAGACTCGGAAGGGACTGGGTTTGGGGTTGGGCGGCCCCGCAGAGTCTGAGGCCCCTTGGAGTACGTCCGCCTCGTGGTACCAAGGACTCAGCGCCGGTGAGACTGGCTGCTGCCCCCAATACCCACATCCACTCTAGGCACCTTCCCCACACAGCAGGAAGTCCCCATGGTTTCTGTCTTCAGGTCTGTGTCCACCATGGGCTGTTTGGGGAATCAGCCCCAGCAGTGTGGGCCATCGCCCGCTTAGAAGCCGCTATGAGCGGGGGCCTGCTCCTTTCCAAAGGGCCGAACCACAGCCCTCTCTAGCCTGTTGCAGTGACCGCCATCTCCAGCCAATGCAGACAGGGGTGGCTCGCCCTCCTGTTCTCCTTGGCCTTTCTTCGCCTCACTCTGATCTTCCTGACATTTGGCCAGGTCCAAGTTCATCCTTGAGGCCTGGCAGGGCCAGCCGGTTCTGGCATGCACCCTGCCGAGAAGACCGTGTGGCCTCCAGCGGAAGGGGAAGAGGTGGCCCTGTCATCCCAGGCAGCGCTTGGACCCTATATCCCAAGAGCGGCCGCAGCACTTACACCTTCTCCTCCATTGATCCCACTCCTGGGGATGGACAAACTACTATGAGATACGGAAATATAGCCTTATTCCCAATGAGGATGTGGGTGGCAGCACTATTTAAATCTTTTTTTTAAATTAAGTTTATTTATTTATTTTGGGAGAGAGAAAACATGAGCCGTGGAGGGGCAGAGAGAGAGAGAATCCTAAGCAGGCTCTGCACTGTCAGCACAGAGCCCGACATGGGGCTCAAACTCACAAAACCCGTGAGAGCATGACCTGAGTGGAAACCAAGAATCGGACACTTAACTGACCAAGCCACCCGGGCTCCCCTAGCAGCACTATTTAAAATAGCAAAAACTCAGAAAGAATCTGAATTTCTAAAGTAAGGAACTGGATAAGTAAACAACTGCACACCCATTTAATGATTATTACACAGCTACTACCAATTAGGTTTAAGAAGGCACCAGGTAATGTTGATAAAATCATGTTATATAAAAAGGCTTATCCATAGGATATATCCTATATCCATAGGCTAGAAAATGGCATATATCGTATGTCATGACTCAGAAACAAACGCCTACTGAGAGCAGAAAATGACTGGAAGACAAAAGTGTCCACAGGCTTTGAAGAATAAACCAGAGATCATGCTTATCTGCTACTTTCTACTTCTCTATAATTTTCAGTTTTTTCTTGAAATCACCTTCAGTACTAATTTTATTTTATTTTTTATTATTTTTTAGTAGTTTATTGTCAAGTTGGTTTCCATGTAACACCCAGTGCTCATCCCCACAAGTGTTCTCCTCCATGCCCATCACCCTCTTTCCTTCAGTACTAATTTTTAAAAACTGCCCGGGCACCTGCGTGGCTCAGTTGGTGGAGCATGTGATTCTTGGTTTTTCGGTGTCATGAGTTCCAGCCCCACATTGGATATAGAGATTGGATATATTGGATATAGAGCATTGGGATCTGTGCTGACAGCTTAGAGCCTGAAACCTGCTTCAGATTCTGTGTCTTCCTCTCTCTCTGCCCCTCCCCAGCTCACGCTCTGTCTCTTCTTGCAAAAATAAATAAACATTTTTAAAAATTTAAAAATTAAATAAAATCTTAAAAAAAAAACCTGTTTAAAATGTCCAATGAGCAGGACGCCTGGGTGGCTCCGTTGGTTAAACGTCTGACTTCGGCTCAGGTCATGATCTCATGGTTTGTGGGTTCAAGCCCTGCGTCAGGCTCTGTGCTGACAGCTCAGAGCCTGGAGCCTTCTTCAGATTCTGTGTCTCCCTCTCTCTGCCCTCTCCGACTTGTACTCTGTAGAGACAAAAACAAGTAAACATTAAAAAACAAATATTTAAATCTCTCTCAAAAACAAGTAAACATTAAAAAACAAATATTTAAATCTCTCTCTCTCTCTCAAAAACAAGTAAACATTAAAAAACAAATATTTAAAATGTCCAATGAGCTTACAGGGATTTTATATGCTTGTCACATGGAATATAGAGCCCAGAGGAAGCTGTCTGTGGGCAAAGAAGCCATACAGCTGAGCACCCAGTAAGCCTGCGACTCTGGTGCCTCCTTCTGCTCTGCCCACACCACCCTCCTTTCCCCAGTGGAGTTCCTGAGATGGTTGGGGAGCGGGGGGAGCCTGATGTACTTTCTGTATTGCTTACCTCCATGTTATCTTTTGTTTTGCAGATGTCACGGAAAAAAGATAGTCTGTAAGTACACATTTCATAAACAAGTTTATAAAATGGTCCATTGAGCGGTGAACTATTTCCAAACTCAGCCAGGTTCTGCATTCCAATGAATTACACCCCTACAGCAGCCTGGTCTGTTTTAGACCCGGAGCCTGGGCCACAATAGCCTAGACGTTGTATGGAGGGTGTTGTATGGAAGGAGCTTGGTCATCAGGCTGGTCAGCTTTTCTGGGCCTGGTGATTTTGAACATTCTGTCCCACTGTTTCCATCCTTACATCTCAGCCCTCATATGAAGAGACACCCTTCAAAGGATTAAGAATCTAGAACATTTAGCTCCCATTGAGCGAAGTATGTGTTTCCTCCTAGGTTCAGGCTTTGGAAGTGAGGCAGACAGGGTTGTGAGGTGGGGGGTATGCTTGGAGGAAGGGAGGTTCCAACAGCTCATTTGAACTTTGAACTCTGAGAGCCTATGCCAGTCACCCTGACACCGCAGGCCCTCTGCTGGAGAGGCCACTCAAGGTCCTTGACCCAAAGAGGGAATCAGTGGAGTTAACACTGACGAGAAAGCAAGGTGATAATAGCTCACCAGAAGCTATGGAAATGCAGAAGAAAGGCAGGCCTGGTTAAGGGTCTCCTCCCCAAGAAAGGGGTCACTGGGATAGGCCGTGACGAAGGGGTCCAGCCACAGCAGCAGGCCCAGGTAGAAAGATCAGCAGGGGTGGAGCCGTGAGGGAAGGAACAGTCCAAGCAGCTCAGGATGGCAGGAGATAGGTCATCCAGGAGAAGCACTAGAAAGAGGTCAGTTAGGGCCTTACATGCAAAGAATTCAAACACCTCATGATGAAGTTTCACTCTGTAGGAAATTGATGATTTAGGATGCTGCTACTTGGCTGATGGAAATGCTTTTTTTTTTTTTAATGTGGAGGTCCAAGTTCAAATTTTGCTAAGACCTGTCTCCTGCTATCTTCCCGCTCCCAACCTTTTGATGAACTACCCAGCAGTGCAGGGGTTAACTAACTGGGCAGCCGATAACTTGAGAAATGAGGAATTGCTGCTTTAAGCTCTGGGAAGAACCATCTGCAAGATTGCTGGATCGCTGGTAGCTTTTCCAATGGGCCCCCTGGCTTCCTTTGTTTTGCTAGAGTCTGAATTCTCATAAAACAGAGAACTCGCTATGCCTTTGACGGCAGGAAACCACTGACATTCTTCTTCTGGAGGAAAGCTATCAACTTAAGGAAAAGAGGAATAAAATGAAGGTCTTTTTCTAGCCTAAACCCAGCCCGACTCCCGACACCAGCGACTTGCCTTGGCAAGGGCCAGGGGCCCAATTGGTAGGTGCAAAAACTGATGGCTGAATTGGCAGAATGGCCTGGCTGGGGTGTCCCAGTCAGGTAAAAGCAGAGCCAGGACTAGAATCTAGGGTCCCCAGGCTCCTTGGCTAGTCCACCACACAAGACTCCCTCCAAGAAGTGACATCACTGTTACAGCCATCATGGCCTTGGGAGAGTGGAAAGTGAGAACTTTGCACCATGGGCCAGGTGGGACCCAGATAAAGAGATGCTCTCCCACTACGATAAACATAGCTGTGTCCTCCCGAGGTAAGTCGGCCGCACCTGCAGGGCTGACTTATTTACTTTGTCTTCAATCCAAACGGTCTCTCTGGACAAAGGCTCTGAGCTCCAGGACAGTTAGAACTTTCCTTTTCCCCAGAAGCTGGCCCGTGCGTCCAGAAGTCTGCTCCCAGGATGCTCCTGAGCTCCCCCACCAGCTGGCCCTGCCCTCCCAAATAATAAAGACTTTTGGCGGGAGCTCAGGGGTTCCCAGCCGTTGGGGGAGAGATTTTGATTCTTTAAGCGAATACAGTTTGTTTAGAAAAGAAGGAGGTATAGTTTTCCTAATAATCAGTTGGTGAGGGTCAGGAGAAAATTAATTGAATTGCCCAGCAGGGAAATGGGAGGGGATTTCCTTCCTGAAATCAAACCTGGCGATCATTCCCAGTTGTTTAATGGCCGTTGCTTCTGAAAACACATTGGAGGAAATATCTTAACAATGAGATAGCCGCTTAGCCAAATACTAATTTAGTATTGTTTGACTTGCTTCAATAGCACATTCTGACTTCATTTTTCCTCTGCCATTTTTGCCTTGTTTATAAGTTGTGTTTGTGGCCCAGGCAGACAGATAACGCAAAAAAAGAACACCTTGTACTTAAAAGAAAGGGGTGAATCTGGACCTTCGTGGGTCTTGGGATCTTGGAGACAGGCTTGCCTTCTTACAGAAAAAAGGCAGTTCCCAGTTAGAGCTCACCTCCTTCCCTCCTGAGAGCCCCCAGTGGGAACTGGAATATGAGCTTCAGCTCTCTGGCCATCTTCTGGGTGAGCCTGTCCTCTCCCAAATAAGCTTTCCAATCCGAGAAAAAGATGATGAGAACCATGAAAGCAGTAATAGCTCCCTACTAGAAGTTTCTTGAAGGTAAAATGAGAAACCTGTGTACAAAGTATTTTGCAATGTACTACATAAATGCTACTCGATTATCTATTTAAAGTTCTTTTCATCACTCTGGCAGTATGAGGTAGAAATGGGAGGTTTACTTCACTTTGGCCTTGAAATGCCTCTTCATGGGATTCAACCAAAGCCAGGCTTTGACTTAGGAATCAGAGACCCACCTTAAAACCTAGGCTTTCTGGGGCGCCTGGGTGGCTCAGTCAGTTGAGCATCCAACTTCGGCTCAGGTCATGATCTCACCGTTCATGGGTTTGAGCCCCACGTCGGGCTCTGTGCTGACAGCCAGCTCAGAGCCTGGAGCCTGTTTCAGATTCTGTGTCTTCCTCTCTCTCTGACCCTCCACTGCTCATGCTGTGTATGTATGTGTCTCTCTCTCAGAAATAAACAAAACATTAAAAAAAAAAACTAACCTTTCCATGATTAGCTGTTTACTAGCCATGTCACATTGGGCAGATGTCTCGGGGCCTTGGCTTCCTCATCTATAAATTGGAGATAATAATCACCCCCCACCCCACTCGGTTGTTGCAAGGATTCAGTGAGCACCTATCACAGACTTGGTTTATTGGAAGTGCTCATAAGGGGCACATTCAACTTTTTTTTAAGTTTATCTATTTTTTTGCGAGAGGGAATGAGCAGGGGAGGGGCAGAGAGAGAGAAGGAGAGAATCCCAAGCAGGGATTGCGATGCTGGGCTTGAACCCACAAACCGTGGGATCATGATCTGAGCCGAAATCAAGAGCCAGACACTTCACTAACTGAACAACCTAGGCACCTGCCATAAGGGGCACATTCTAGAATCAGGAACTAGAAAAGCCAGGGGTGTTAGAAGTAAAATGACCTTTGAGAGCATTTACACCATGTTCTGGCCCGAAGTGGGCCGATCTCATGGCTGTTCTTGGGTGGCTGACAGCTGGCCTCTGATTTAAGTACAAGGAAGGACAGGTCTTGGAAGTGAGCATGTTAGCCTTTACTTCAAGGTCCGGTTGACTGGGGCCCAGCCCTTCCCGTCCGTGGGGCCGGTTCTGCAGCAGCTACCAAGCGCTCGCCTCGCCTCGCCTGGCGGAGGAGAGCAGAGGCGTCTAGGGAGGGACTTGGTCTGGAGCCTGCAGGAAGCCCGGACACCAGGGTCCCCCCTCTAGGCAAAGCGGAAGAAATGAAGTGAAGGTAGCTGCCAGCCCTGGCGGGCCTCCAGCCCCCTGGGGCCAACCCAGCCCTCTTGGCCTGCTTGCCACGGTCTCTTCTGGCGAAGACAGAGGCAGAGCCTTGGTCTGCCAGCTGGAGCCCTTTGGACCTGCATCCTGTTCTGAGAGGCTCCTCAGACGTGCAGGACCAGAACAAAACAGGGGCCCTACTTCAGCCCCCACCTTCAAGGAGCCAACCAGCCTGGCCAAAGGGCTCCCAAGACCCTGGCTAATCTCCACAACTGCCCCCACTTTTGTGCCCATGCGATCCACCTGCGATGATGAAGGGTTGAGCCGTGGACCCATTTGCTGCCTGCCCTTTGAGCCCCAGGGCGCCTTTACTCTAGCATTTCCCATCTGCTCCGCTTTCACCCCCTTGCTTCAGCCATTTGTCCAAACTTGCCTCGCCTTGGAGGCTGGCTCCAAGAAGCCTTCTGTAATTCCTTTGTGGCACAGCTAGGGCATCTCACCACCTCTGAACTCCTGCAGTCAGTTAGGACCTTTTCCATCTGTTTAGCACTGTCAGTCCATAATGGATAGGATATAAAATCCTTGGCAAGTTCTCGCATCCTCAGATAATAGCACTCGGGTCAGATGGGAGATGGGGGTCCAGTCACTGGCAGATTCGTAGGTGTCGACAATACCATACAAAGCAGTTAGCAAACACTACAGGATGGCATGTGGAATCTTCCCACCCCCCCTTTTTTTTATTAGGCAAAACAGACACAACAGCATGTACCATTTTAACCATTTTTAAGGGTACAGTTCAGTGACATGAAGTACATTCACATTGTGTGCAGCCATCAGCACCGTCTACCCACAGAACTTTGTCATCATTCCAACCTAAAAGTCTACCCATTGAGCGCTAACTCCCCATTTCCCCCTTCCCCACAGCCCCTGGAAATCACAGTTTTCCTTTCTATCTCCGTCAGTTTGACTACTCTGGGTACCTTGTATAAGGGGAATCATACAATATTTGTTTCTCTTGCATCTAGCTTCCCTCACTTCTTCAACATCCTCAGTGTTTATCTGTGTTGAAACTCTTTGATGTTGCAATTAAAAAAAAAAAACAACAACAGACCTAGAGAAGGCTCAGCTCATGTTAGAGGCAGAGCTGGAGCAAGAAGCCAGCTCTCTCTTAAGTTTACTAGTCTTGCTCTGTGGGCAAGTAGAGCACCCACGGGGCAGAGTGCCGGGTGTACAATGGGTACGTGACAAAGTTGGTTGATGTCCTGATGGGTGCAGCGCGCATCTACTGGGAGTGGAGGCCGCAGCCCTGGGTGGAGCCGGCATGGAAAGAAGGGAGAAGTGAATGTGGGCAGGAGCTGAGCCCACAGGGTGGAGGTACCAGCAGAAGGCAGCTTTGGAGTGCATTTGTGAAGTGCTAGCTGCAATGTTGCGTATCTCTCCCCTGGGTCAGTCTTTAGTCCTGAAGGGTGTGACCGTAGCTTGTCTTCTCTCTTGTCTCTACAGAGAACGGAAGGCTCCCTCGATGGAACTTAGGACTGCGAGGGCGATGGTCCTCCTTAGAAAGACATCCACATTCCAAGAAGAGCAGATGATTCCTGTATTCCAAGAGCTCTGTGCACTTATTTATGAACCTGCCCTGCTCCCACTGAACAGAGCAATTCCTCAGGCCAAGTCACCAGTTCTTATTTCCATCTTACTACATTTATGGGGGGGCGGGTATAAAGAGATACGGAGGGGCTGATTGAGTCCCCCACGGCACCCCCCTCTCACCAAGCTGGAGCATCCTCAGGAGTGAGGAGCTGCCGAAGGAGGTTCAGGGTTAAACGGCCATTGGGATATTTTGAAACTTGAATATTTTTGTCTTGCACGGAGATCAAGAACTTGTCCAAGTATCTTCACACACAGAAACCATTTTTTGTTTTGTAGCCAATCACTTCTGGCTGGGCTTAGGGGCTTTTTTTTTCCCCCCCTCTTTGCCTTTGGTCCTTCAAAGGCCTGTGGTTCTGGCCGGTCGTCGTTCCTTGGAAGCGCACGGCACTGACCAGACAGCACACCCTGTTCCCTCCACGATCTCGCCTACTACAAGTGCCGCGACAAAGCTGCTTGGGAGTGACCCCTCCGAGATGCCAGCCTGAAGATCAGATTCATTCTGGGCAATGCACAGAAGAGAAAACGAAGTCGGACAGAGCACAGATGGTCTTACACTGTTTTTCTATACCCTTTCTTTCTTTTCCTTTACCATGCTGCAGGCTGCAAGATGGGGAGATGTTTGCCTACAGCAAATATTGTTTTTAATAGAAAAATGAAATGCATATTTTCTTACTAATTTTTTTTAATTTATTCCTTGCTAAGGAAATGGTCCCCTGAGGTCTTACAATGTTCCTGAGGGTGTCTTGAGTGGGTTGACGAGTAGCCCCGGCCATTTCACGGTGGAAGTTCACTAGTGAGCACACCTGAGATCATTTCCCCCCACATCTCCAGCCACCTCAGTGACACAGCTGCAGGGTATTGCATTAAATAAATTTGATCTTCACTCTTCACAGACCTGTGAAATGTCATCTTCTAAGAGGCCACTTACATATAGAATATCTGTAGTGCTTGAGGACGTGCTGGGCCTTCTGAAGTCACAAAGAACCAAGCAGGTCTTATCAGCAGGTCATTTCACACAGCCCAAGGGCCTCTGTGGCCTTTATTGAAGGCGGGGCCAGGGGTAGTCTGAGCGTCAAACACTGACTCATTAATATCCATTGGCTGCGATTCAGCATTTGCTTCCCGGCTAAAGACTGCCAGGCTGTCCCTGGCAGATAGGGTTGCCAGGTTGAGCAAAAAACAACAACAACAAAAAACCCCACCAAAACACCCAGGGTGCTCAGTTAAGTTTGAATTTCAGATAAGCAATGAATCTGTTTTGAGTGTAAGTATATCCCATGTAACATTTGGGATGTACTTATGCTGCAAAAGTATTCATTTATCTGAAATTCAAATTTAACTAGGCATCTCATTTTATCTGGTAAAGCCTGCTGGAAAAGCACCCCCTCCTATCCCTCTAAGCCATTCTCAGCAGCAGACCTCACTGCCCCACAGCCCAGGTCCCCATCAGAACAGCACCCCACTGGGCCTGAAGGCAGACAGAGAGAGGAGTGTGTGTTCTGGCTCTGCCATATTGTAGAAACTTGAAGGAACCTCTCAACCTCTGAGCTTCAGGTTCTTCATCTCTACAATGAGGAGGTTGGACTCCTGGTTCTTAACATTTGGAGGGTTTAGACTCCTGTGAAAATATGATAAAAGGTATGGACTCGTGTGCGTTCACACACAGAGTTGTAGCATGAAAATGTTATATAATTTCCCTGGCCCAAGGCCAGGCATGGACTCAGGCTGGAGGCACAGGATGAGATGGTCTGTATTGAACTTCAGGTCTGACAGCTGATGTGTTGATGATCTGAGGAGAGCCCAGAGCCTCCATGTCAACGCCTCATTCCCTGCTGTCACCAGAGCAGGGCCATTGCCACGGTAGCTGGGAAGACGTGTTCCTGATGCTTATGACCAATTTATGGAACACAGATGGATTTACTTGTTTTCTCCCTCTTGTCTGTATTTCTGAGGGGGGAAACCATATACACAGGGGTCTTTTGTAGTAGATTCAGTAGCTAAAAATCCAAGATCCAGGTTCAGCTGTCCTAACCCTAGGGCATCACCAGGCGTCTAAGCCTCCAGAGCCCGTCACTGCAGAAGAGCTTCAGTCACCCTTTCTGGGAGTGGCTGCTTTCCCACCGCGTTGGAACTTGTTAGAGCTCCCTCTTGTGTCCTCACACTGTCATAGGTCATTCAACGACAACCACTCCTTTGCAAACATATACTAGATTTTTTTTTTTTTTTTTTTTGGCTTCTTTTGAGGATCCACAAGAAGTCAGCCCCAGTCTCAGGAGCATATACTGAGCACTCCCATCAGCATTAATTGATTACCTGAATTTTCACTCCCTGACACAGATGCAAGATTGGCAAAGTGACTCCAGCGTCAGCATTCGTCCAGTAAAGCGGTGGTTTTCTACCAGGGTGATTTCGCCTCCCAGGGTCACTGGGCAGTGTCTGGAGACATTTTCAGTTGTCACCACTGGATGGGGTGCTACTGGGATCTGGTGGGTAGAAGCCAGGGATGCTGCTAAATGTCTGACAATACACGGGAGAGTCCACCATAACAAAGAATCATCAAGTCCCAAATGCCAATAATGCTTGCACTGAACCAACCAGTTATTTATTTATTTTGATTCCATCATGCTCTGTTTTCCTGACACTGTTGGGAATAGGCCAGATTATAAGAATTACTTGGCCTCTAGTCCTCCTGGAACACACGATCCAATAGAGCTATAGATGAGTAGAGTGCCAATTATAGCAGGTAGGACAAGGATTGCAGTGGAGAAAGTCAAGGCCAATGGAGGCACAGGGAAAGGGCTCCTAACACTGACTTTAGGGAATCAGAGGAAGTGTCCGAGGGGAAGTTGTGTCTAACCAAAGACCTGAGGGTAGGGAGAGTACCAGGTGGAAAAGGTGGGGTAAGCATGGCCGACCAAGGGGGAAGTGTATGCTAAGACCCTGAGGCAAAGGAGAGGCCAGTGCCATCAACATAGCAGAAAAACAGCACATCAGCCCTGGGTCCTTTCCAACCTGAGGATCAATTAGTCCTCTTCAAAAAGCTACCCATGTCCTTTGAAATTTCTTCCAGGAACCCCATTGGTCTGACTCAATCTTTGAGAGTCTTCAGGAGAAGCTTCCTGAAAGTGGGTCAGCCAGAACTCAGCTCTGGAGTACAGTTGTTTTTAAGACTCTCCGTGTGTGTCATTAACATGTCAGAGAGAAGATCTTTGCTGTAGGATCAGGTGCTGCCCTTGCTCACCACCGCATAGCTCCAGTGAAAAGGAGAACTGGAGGGATATGGAGACCCAGCTACTTGGGGACAGCCTCCACAGCGGGGGTCCACAGAGTGGGGATGGTGGTAGGGGACAGTGTCTGTGAGTAGGGGAAGGAAGCTGTGAGAGTATGCCATTTTCTGGAAGACAGTCATGGCTTTTATCAGCTTCTCAGGAATATGGTCCAAAACAAAGTTAAGGACTACAAAATAATTAAAAACTCATGTGTGCTCCATGTGATTTGATGTCTGTTAAGAACCCCAAAAGAGTGGTTAACCCATTTCCTTCTCAAAGTGTCTGCTTTGTGGATAGTTTTAAGTCCAAAACCCCTAGAGGAACTTGTCTTGCCTTCAGAAAATGGCTCAAAATAAATAAATGGTGATTTCAGTGTTAAAAAGAGACAGCCCTCATCTCCCAAAAGTAATGAGCCAATAGATTATTTTTGATATACCAAAGGAATAGGCAGTAAATTACTTTAAAAATTTCATAGTCCAAAGTATTTCTAAAACCTTCATACGGATTTCATGAGTCAATGGGAAATAAATCTGTTTCAACATGAACTTGGAGAGTAGAAGAGAAAAAGGATTTCCATGTTTGCAGAGCATGACAGAAAAGGCAAGCTGCAGCAGGAGATTGGCTACCAGTTGACTCTGTGACCTTGAGATGTCACACATCTTACTTAGAGTTCTTCTACAAGAGAAGTTGCGTTCACTTTCTAGGGCTCTCATGGCAAATTACCACCAACTCTGACTTAGAACAACAGAAATTTATTCTCCCACTGCTCTGGAGGCCCAAAGTCCCCAATCAAGTTGTCCACAGGGCCATATTTGCTCCAAAGGCTCTAGGGAAGACTTCTTCCTTGCCTCTTCTAGCTTTTGGTGGTTATCAGTAATCCAGTGTCCCTTGGTTAGCAGCTACATCACTAATCCCAGCCTCTGTCATACAAGTCATTTTTCCATATGTATCTGTATCTGTGTCTTCACATGGACTTCTCATAAAGAAAGCAGTCATTGGATTTAGAGCCCACCCTAATCCAGTATACCGCATGTTTACTAATTACATCTGCAGAGACCCCATTTCCAAAGAAACTCACGTTCTGATGTTCCAGGTTGACATGAATTTTGGGAGGGGTGGTGGTGGGGACACTATTCAACTGAGTATAGAAGGAATTAGACAAGATGGGCTCAACTCCTTGCAGCTCTGATTTTCCATGTTCCCATGATCCTCCTATCAATAGAAAGGTCAGTCCGGCACCAGTAATTTACCTACAAATAACATAGTCTTTTGAGCCATTGCAGTCTGATGTTTTTTCACTGCGCTTTGCTTTCTTGTGTTTGGTGTCTCTGCCTCTGGGATTATCACTGTGCTTCTGTCCCGAAGCTTCTTCATGTCCTCGCTTTCATCCCTCATCCTTTTCCTGCTTCTTTCCTTTTTCTCCTCCTTTTCATCTTTTTCCTTTCTCCCTCATCCACAATTACTTGACCATAATAGAGAATTGAAGTTTATATATTTCTTTTTTTCCCTTTCTCATTCCTTTATTTCACAGTGAAAGTTTTCCTTTTAAAAAACTGAAGTATAGTTGACACACAGTATTATGTTAATTTCAACAATTCTGTGTGTTATGTACTCAGCACAAGGGTAGCTACCATCTATCACCATACAATGCTATCACAATACCATCGACTATATTCCCTCTGCCATACCTTTCATCCCTGTGACTTATTCATTCCATGACTGGAAACCTGTATCTCTCACTCCCCTTCATTCATTTTGCCCAACACTCCTCCCTTCTGGAAACCATCAATTTGCTCTCTGTATCTATAGGTCTGTTTCTGCTTTGTTTTGTTTTTTGGATTCCACATGTAAGTGAAATCATGTGGTATTTGCCCTTGTCTGACTTATTTCACTTAGCATAATACCCCCAGGTCCACCCATGTCATCATAAATGGCAAGATTTCATTTTTTATGGCTGAGTAATATTTCACTGTATATACACACCACATCTTTATCCACCCGTCTATTGATGGACACTTGGACTACTTCCATATCTTGGCTATTGTAAATAATGCTGCAATAAACATAGCGAGACATATATCTTTTCAATTAGTATTTTTGTTTTCTTTGCGTAAATACCCAGTAGTTGAATTTCTATTTTTAACTTTTTATATATTTATTATCTTTATAGATGAGTTTTATATTCTCATTTATTTTGAGAGCCAATCCATGGAATATTTTCTATTTTTCTCTCTCTTCAGGAAAAAAAAATGCCTCCAAAAGTTGTTTTTGGTTTCTGTCTATATTTGACCGTTGGTGGATTATTTTTCCAAGGGTTTATTGGATTTATTAGGAAAAAGTCCCCAGTTGCTGCCTTACTTCCTCCTGATCCTGGGATGTGCTAGTTTCCTGGAACCTCTTGGCACAGGAGGGTCTGATTTAGTGCCAGAAACTATTCCATTAGTTTCTGATACAACTAACACTCTCCTTCTCAGGGCTTGGATTATTCAGGCCAGAATTGACAGCATGAGAAAATCTCCCTGTGTTGGGATTTTGAAGGATCCTGGGACTGGGTCCTCGGACAAAGAAAAAGATGCATCAGGCAACCAGACCAACGTGGTCTCTGGTGCTTGTGATACTTC